AAGCATCCCCCTGACTGCATGCAGCATCTGCTGGCCCTCCTAGGTCTCCTCCAACTCACGCACGGCCTGTGCCAAGCCTCCCAAGCCATCCCCTGTGCTTCTTACCTGGGACTCCCACTTCTTCCCACTTAACCCATGTCTTGGGGTTATGACAGCAACTGGGACTTCTGGGATTGCCATCACTAGGCAATGCAGTCATGTGACATTGCACTTTACAACTGTATCGCTTAGTGACAGCAATCCTGGTCCCAATTGCTGTCATAACCCGAGGACAACCTGTAATACTTCCTTCCATTCAATTCTACTATACAGCTGTTTCACATGACCCATACATAAGGCACAGGCCCTCAACTCTAATGCCATACTAAACAGTAGCCAGGCATTATCCACCCCACTGATGCTAATATTTAGGTTATGTTGTCTATAGTTCCCATTATGTAGCAAAAGGGCCCAAATAGAAATTACCAAGCTAGAAGAAACTGCAAGTTTGAACAGTGGAATGATGGGATGTTGCCCTGCCAACATTTTCCAACTGTTTCTTCACCCATGGGGAGAGGGTGAGTTCTACATTTCAGAAGGTTAAAAATACTATAGCTAGGGGATCAAAAGGCTATTGCTGTTATTCTACTGGTACTAAGAATTTTGGGGTACGGCTCTCATTTGGGAATTAGCTGGCTAAAAAAATGCAGTAGTTTATCATAAATAACTATTTAATACCAAATTTATTTTAATTTGAATTTTAAACCATTAGAGAAGAGCTTTGGTGACCTATAGCTTCCATGATAAAAGTTATGAATGTTTAGTAAGCGTGCACATATAGCAATAGTGAAACTTTATGAAATTTTATAGCTGTTTTCAAGAGTTTATATTTTTGAAAACAAATATAATGCAGTAGGCACAGGAAGCAAGCTGTGAAAAATTAGGTGGAAAAATGGCTGGACATAGATCAGGAAGAGCCAGGTTCAAATCTCCACCCACCATGGAATTCACTGTGTGATTTGGGGCCAATTATCTCTTTCAGCACAGCTTACCCCACAGGGTTGTTGTTGGGTGTATTACGAAAGGTGATCCTTGCACTCTGCCTTGAGTTCCCAGAGAAAAGGTAGGGTACAAAGACAACAAATAAATGCATAAACAGGATAGTAAAGATATCTGACAAAGTTTGTGACATAATGATAATGTAACATGACTTTAAAGACTTGGATATGTTCTCAAAAGTTCCTTTCACCAGATTTCAAAGTATACTTTGCACAGTCATGTTGAGCAAAATAGTCCATATATTTAACATAAAAGTATATTTGATCCTATACAGGAAAACATTTAGAAACATAAACTAGTGATATCTTGCAACTTTTTACTTCATCCAGTGACAAATTTCAACCATTCTTATGATTTCAGAAAGTACGCAAAATACAGACATGAGAAGGAAATGAAACCTGTGAGATGACCGCATAGTACTTTACATGGAAATTTGCAACACCGTAAGCATCTACAAGATACATTTCCATAACATAAATGCAATTTGTGTTACACAGATACTACAGCACTCACTATCTACAACCAGGGCAAATTTCCAAGGCACAAATTCAGTGCTGTCACTGGCTGCATTTGAACAGAGTTTGATACAATGAGAACAGTGTCCTGAATTTGCATATTTCCCCTTCTTTCCTCACAACCCTGGCCAAACCTGGCTAATGTTTATTGAATCTTAAATTCTGATTAATTTTAACTCTGGCATATTTAATAAGGCAGCTTCATTACCCATGGTTTGAAGCTTGCTTATTTTAAAGCATGTGTAAGATTAACTACAAATTGTTGATTTTGGATGACAAGGCAGACTGCAGTTAAAGTAATCCAGTAGCAAGAAACTTATAACTGCATCTTCCACTGTATGGAAGGAGGAAGACTTTAAGCCTGAGGTTCAGCAAAATGTTTTTAATGTGATGTTCAAACTGGTCACTGTAATGTTATAGATCACATTAAGAATTTCTCTAAAATGCGTAATTTTTAACAGAAGTCTTTGGGAACAAAACTTGCACTGTGGTTTATTTTGAATATAGTTTATCTATTAAACTAAAAATATAGAATTTTTAAGGTAAATCTCGGGCACCCTCGGGAAGTTCACCAGGCTGTTTAGCACATCATTCCAAGAGCTTCCTTCAAAATAAAGATAAGTTCAGAATTATCTTGTGTCAACAAATGGCTGGCTAAAACATGGATTTCAGGCTTCTCCATGGAATTTTACAGGATCTGACCCTTTGCTTGGTTTAAATTCCTACAGAGAATAAAGCAGGATGAAACCAGACAGGAAGAGAATTTGTCTCACACACTATTTACATTTAAGTCTGTTCTCTTAAAGTTGCACAGTGAGTGTCTGTGAGTTATTCAAAACAATGTTTGATGTTTTTAAGGCAATACCATACTGCAGAAATTAAAAAAAAAACACATCAGAACTTCAATTATGCACTCATTAAGTATTGGCCTTCAGTACTTTCTCCCTTCTGAAACTTCAATTCACCACAGTTTATATGAAAACTTTAATTTAACCATGTGTATTACCAAATTCCAGATGATAATTCAAGAAAGAGCATTTGTTTTGCAAGCAAATTCACTGGTTATAAAAATCAACACTTGACAACCAAAGAGAATTTTCTGCTTTTTTTAAAAGTACTTTCTTAGGCCAATAGGAGTTTATAAATACTTCTGACCTAGGGCTATATTATTTCTTAGTGAGAAATCCTCCAAAGGGGCTGTCAAATGTTAAAACATATAGACCACATTTGTCCATTCTTTTTTGCCAGCAAGTCCTATTACCATGCTCTCAGTAAATGACATTTAATAGATATTTCTGGAAAGTGATATACATAAACTCAAAGATCTTTGCAAGAGGCTATTCAGTTCATATGGAAAAGAAGGAATGAGCAATTTATTTATTGGCAACATAGAGGCAATAATGCCAAAAGGAGGGTGGGGGGAATAAAAGGATTAGAGGGCTGTTTGGATTAGCCTTCCTGTCCAAAATCTTCTGTGAACTTCTTTAGTTTTTCCAGGTCTTGCTCATTTACTGTGGGTTTTGTATTTGCTAGTGACCTCAGCATATCAGCCTGCACATAAATGAAAGAACAGTTAAGAGCTGCACATTTCTCTATTATACATAGCACATGCACCACAATTTCATGAGTTATGGCATGGGGGAAGAAACTAAAAGAAGCTATAAAAACAAAGAAATCATAACAGCCTCTAACATTTCTAACTGGTTTTTCACAATTGTTCAAATCGTTACCATAGAAACCGAAGTCTAACAATTTTATCAGAAATTTAACAATACAAGGTACCACACCTGCTTTGTATTACTGGTACTTAGAAGGAATATATTATTGTAGAATGATTTTATTGATTACAACTTAACTAACAGCAGAGCCCTCTCCATCTTTACTCAGAAGCAAGGTTCACTCAATTGCTTTACATATATATTGCATCCTAAACACTGCCAACCAGCACTCACACTTCACAGTGCTTTACTACTACATGTTATAGCCCAAACTATGAGATCCCATTCTTACAACTCAGAACATTAAAGCACTCTAGAGAAAGATGTTTTGAAATGCAAATTTATGGGAAATTAAAATAATCATGGGATATTCCACTTCAGATATTTAACTCTACAGCAAACTAAATTAAGTGGAGGTGTAACTGCATAAGTGTATGTGTTGGGGAGAATAGCTATACATCCCCTCAGTGGCATAAATCAGTCTCTTAAAAAATGATGTCAAAATACATTTCTAGCCAATAAAGAAAGCCTTTCTAGTAAAAGCAGTTTCCCTTTTTCTCAACAAGTCTTTCTCTAAGTTTTAAAAGAAGGTGGTAGGCGTCCTGGGTTGGTGAGGGTGTCTGTACGTGTTCACGCAACCTCAATGGGAGAGGACATTTCTCCTGGCAGAGCAGATGTGGTCACTGAATGGGTGAGAAACATAGGTTACACAGGACAGGTAGGAACAGGTAGCTTAGGGAACCCAAAGGTGACTCAAATTTGCAGCCTCTGCATAGAAATGCAAAATCCACTTTTTCCCAACCCTTTAAAAAAAAACAGAAGGTTGCTAGTGGAACTAATGAGTTAAATTATATGCCTATCAATGCTTCAAACTAGCACCTTAATTACATTCTTGCACAGAAAGATTATCGTCATTCTGTGCTTTGTAATTTAAACCATAAAACAGGCCATCACAGCAATTAGCAATACTTTTTCAGGTCTTTGGAGCAGAAAGTTCAGAAAGCCTCTACTGATCCCTAAAAAAAGAGCAGGTGAACATATTTGCACTGGCATTTTGTGCTCTATATTTGAAGCTCTTGCTTCAAATTAAATGGTTTTCTTTGTGTGTGTGGGCGCGTGTGTGCGCCTTCGATTCAGTCTTGACTCTTGGCAATCGCCCGGACAAGTCCCAGCAGTTTTCTCAGCAGCATTTTCAGAAAAGGTTTGCCATTGCCTTCTTCCTAGGGCTGAGAGGGAGTGACTGGCCCAAGATAGCCCACTGGTTTTGTGCCCAGGCCAGGGCAAGAACTCATGATCTTCCAGTTTCTAGCTTAGTGCCACTGTCACAATAGATAATTAACGTTATCGTATACAATGAGAAGCATTATATATCATTCCCATTATTTTCCAGAAATTTTATTTGAAAGCTCAGTTACACTTTAGTCCACTGAAATCAAACCTATTTTAAAAGGGCTAACTTAGAGTTAAGTCTGCACACTATACTAAGCCATAATTTGCTTAAACATGGTTTCATATATAAACAATAATTGGATGAATTCATATATAAGCTAAGCAACTAGAAAACAAATAGCATTTTGACCTAATACAATACATGAACCCAGCTTTGGTCTAGACTTATTTATATATTTTGTAACATAAAATTACTTAAGCAATTGTTATTTTATGTTGGAACTTCAAGTTTTTACATAGAAGAAAAAAACCTTAACATTTCCCAAATCAGGCCACAATTAAAAAAAAAAAAGATGCATCTAAAGTTATGGTGCTTATGTTTGCTTGTGCAACAACTATAGTTTGAATAAGTAAGCAAGCAGGAGATAAGCTCTCGATTTTGGTCACGTTATTACAAAGACTCAGCTGTTTGCCAGAGGCCAACTCCTATTCAGGCAGGCTATATTTTATTTATCATATCTATATAGCCACCCATCTTACACAAGGTGACTGTGGGTGGCATACAACAATTATATATTGCATTAACAAGACCAATTACCTTTGTAAAAGGCAATGTCTTTTTTAAGTCAACAATGACTCCTGAAGACTTCATGGGCATGTCCATGCAGCTTTTTGGCAACATTATGAGAGGTTTGCCTTCTTCTGGGCTGTTTTTCAAGTTCCCAATGTAGCCTTCAGCTCTGGTATTTGCAAGTCTTCTTCCATCCGAGTACTAACCAGGCTTGTACTTCACTTTGGAGCCCTGATAAGGTCAGCCAAGTCACCTTGCTGTCACCTACTGACCTCTATTATTTTTGTAACTGAAATTCTAATCCATATGGTATTCATTTTTCCCCTTTTGAGAGAGGCATACTATTACTTGCTGTAGAAGAATAAGGTACGGCTGCCCTAATGTAGCTTCAGGCCTTTCTATAAGCCAAGAGCATATTGTTAATAGAACTTTGATTTTTGTTCAAGAAAACCATCCCTCCTTGTTACGATGGGTGAACTGGATAACAAAGCTTTTATCTTTATGACAGATAGAGTCATGTGAAAAAGTAGGAAATCCCACTGAAATGTTCGGCTTTGCATTTATATTTGTTTAATTATACAATGGATTGCAAAATGTAAATGGTGCATGATATTTATTACATCCTCTTTATCTATCAATATTGTTGAAATGAGGATCAAATATCTGTATGTTGAAATATGTTGAAAAAATAAAAAAAATCAGTGGGGTGTACTTACTTTTCACATGACTATAATTCTTATGCATTTTTTATCTACTTGAAGTAGAGGAAATTAAATCACTGAGTTTGTACAGCACATTAAGCCATAGTTTCACTGGGATCCAGCATCTTGCTATGCTATAAGCTAAAGGTGGAAAAGCTTTCAGTGGCTGAGAACCACATTTTAGAAATATTTCCAATAGAAATTGAAAGTTACCTTGCAGATGGGGTAATTTACATGGGGGTTATTCCGAATGTTCTAAAAAAACCCACATCACGGTGTTGAGTTACTATGCTTGTAATTTAATTCTAAATAATAATGCAGGTATTAGTGTAAGAGTCTTGAATTATTAATCTTCTCTGGTCTATACTGTTGCATCCTATAATTCATATTCAATCTTTAGAAGCTTTATGATAGCAAAAATACAATGAATCATTAAGTTTTAAGGTTAATTCAGAATTCCAGAATTGGAATTTAATTATTAAGCCCAAATTATATTATACAAATTTTTAAAAAATACAAAAAACTTATCTGGTATTATGCTTGATTTGTGCAAAAAAGATTTCAGATTCAATTATTAGCATTTTCAAAGACTCAAAAGGAGTCCATTTTGAAATCTTGAATTGCTGATACCAGTCAGAGCAAATAACCTGAGCTAAATGATCAGGTATCTGATTTGACACAATAGTTTCCTATACTATTTATATTACACAGAGAGAATGTAATGTAATGTAATGTAATGTAATGTAATGTAATGTAAGGTAAGGTAAGGTAAGGTAAGGTAAGGTAAGGGAAGGGAAGGGAAGGGAAGGTAAGGTAAGGGAAGGAAGCGAAGCGAAGCGAAGCGAAGCG